GAGAGAGAGAGAGAGAGAGAGAGAGATTGAATAGGAAACAAATATGTTATTCTTGTGTCAAAACCTAATTTGCGGAAACAATTGAATTATAAAAACAATACATCAATACTAAATTTTTAAATAGAAATATATTGTTAAAATACAATTGGATATAAATCACTGGATTATAGTCCTTATAAGAGCCAAACGTTTATTTTTTAGAAAACGAGTACTTTTATTTTTTAATTATTGTAAAACAAATACTTATAAAATAGACATATGAGCGTCTGAGACGTGAATAGGCACTCAATTTTAGTGTTGAGCTTATGTTATAAATTATAAGTTAAGTTGTATCTAAATATTTTAACTTTTATTTGAAACTACTTAAAAATTACAAGTTTTTAATTTTTTTTTATTAATTAATGAAATATCAATTAATATTTGTCTTATAATTTAAAAATCACTATTAAGAATTTTATATTAGATAGCTAAAAATAAGGAAAATACTTAACATTTTAAATAATATTGTTTTAGATATTGAAGTTAAGTCTGTTCAATAATAATTTTTTCATAATTAAATCAACGATTCTTTTGGATGCGCTATTTGCGATAATCATAATTTATATCATCCATATAAGAACTTATTAAATAATAACCAGCCACTTGTTTTGTAATTTTTAAGAATAACAACATAATTTCTAAATTAAATTATGTTCTCTTAAACTAATAATTGCAAAATCATTCATTGTATAATAAATATTGCAAAACATTAATTGAAATCAAACTATATGTCAAAGATGAATTTATAATTTTTATTATAAAACATACTTACAATACTTGTTAATATTATTTAACATTGAAATGCGATTTAATTTATTCAAAGTATTAAATATGAAAGCAATTTAATTATAATAACAATAAATAAAGCTGTATTCAATGTACTGTATTTATTAGAGAATAGCAAAAATGGTTATTTAATTAAATATAGACAAAATGAAAATATTTCAATAATTCAATAAAAAACAAAACAATTGACAAATGTCTTACATTTATATTGATGCCATTAAACAGTAGGTACTTAACAAAGCCAACCCCTCACAACATTGTCTACTGTTTTGTAGTATAAAAAATAAATTAGTACTCAATTCAGTAAACATTATAATAAACATAACATAAATAGAAAAATATTTTTTAGACCTTAAAATTGAGGTTAAGATGTAATAGAAATTGATTCGATGTTTTTGTAAGTTTTGAGCGATAGTTAGCACTTTATTTCATAGATTATCCTATATTTTCTATTCCGTATGTCATAATGGCATACAGTGTATTCAAATATATTTTGTTTTCCAAAATGATTTTTTTCTTTTTTTTTACATTTTTATAATTAATTTTATTAAAGTTCTTAATATATTGCAAAATAAATAACTATAAAATCCACAACACAGGTTATTTTACCATGTATTAAATATTATCAAATAAGGCTAAATTAGAAATACTAAACCTTATTTGTTTAAATTTCTGACTTATATAAAAAACTTAGAATATAAGTATTTTATAAATTTAACTATTGCAATAAATTTATTTAAAATTTTAATAATTAGTATAAATGACAGTATATAAACAAATCTATAAAATAATGCATAATTGTCTGCATTTAGTGTTGAATTCTTGGGGCAAATTCCCAACATCTGGTTTGTTTGAGGGCACGTCATCTGATTTTGGGGCTTATGATCAGTGTTTGTCTATAACGGCGAATGCAATGATTGGTGAACCACAGTATTGTATGATTGAGATGACATTACCGCTACCACAACCACAACCCATACACCATAATCTGCACCATAGGGTGGAAGTACTTCCGCAACAACTCAAACACAATAGAAGCCAAAAGAATAACTTATTTGCAAAGCTAGCAAAAGAAGCCTCTTTTTTCTACTGGATATCAATGAGAACTGGAATTTGTGTTCCAAATAAGTGTTCTCCAAATGATATCAATCGTCTGTCAATCAATTGTAAGCAATCCTATAAAACAATCGTAAATGTGTCAGTGTTTTTATATATTTATACATTTAACATTATTTATACATTTCATTCAAATCACAATTTATACTAATTCTCAATTATAACATTAATTAGAAATCAAAATTGTTTTCAAAATTGTTAAGTAAACTCATATTGGATTTCAGTTGCAAAACATTATGGCTTAGAAAAGAAGTCAATTCGCTGTGAAGTGAAAGAAAAATCGATTCAATTAAATAAGACACAAATGTTTGCGATGTAAGCGATCCCTAGACCTAACAATGATTACATTACTCTATCAATAATTAATATATTGTTTGTTGTTTTATATTTGTTTGGATCAGAATAGTGTTGGCGTTCTTTGTAATATCGGGGTTGACTGCAAGTTTGGCACAATATTTTATGGCTCCAAAAAGTTGTTTCTAATATTATTTCAAAGATTTTTTCAGTTAACTTTTTATTTTATTTATATAATAATAGAAAAATGCTTTTTGGTTGAAGTATTTTCAATACAGAAAAATATCAAAAAATTATTCAGTCCTCAAACATCTGATAACCTGTCATGTCTTCATGGGATTCGCGTAATTACAATATTTTGGGTTATTTTTGGCCACACAATAGTTTGGGTTCACTATCATATGTTTGGTAATTCATAAAATCATTTAATTTATACAATTAAACCTTTTTATTTGTTATAATTTATAGGCCGAGCATTTGGTGTAAAAGAATTGTTAACACATAACGTAAACCAAATTTTATTAAACGTTGAATATGGCGTTGATACGATATTTTTTATAAGGTTTTAGATTATTGCAAATAATATATAAAGATTGTATACTTTACTATATTTACATATTGTTATTACATTTTAGCGGACTTTTAACGACATATATTACCTTCAGTCTAACAAAAGGCAAACTTCAAAACTTTACATGTTTTGGATTTTTAATATCGAGAATATTACGATTGACTCCACAATTGGCCATATTTTTGTTACTAAACTTTTTATTGCCGTTTACCGGCTCCGGTCCCTTATGGCATGAAATGACCGACACGTTAATGGATAAGTGTTACAAGAATTGGTGGCTTAATCTACTTTATATACAAAATTTTGTGGATGTTAAAAATATGGTAATTTGGATGTTAACTTGTCCGCAAACTTTCTTGGCACATTTGCAATTTGCCAGCCCCTCGGCATTAATTCTGTCCTTTATATTCATATACTTTATATACTCTTTAATACTGTATATACTTTAATTCAAATATGAATAATGTAAAGGGCATAAGTAATAACATAGGGCTAACAAATTTGAATATTTTTTCGGTATAAGGATATAATATAAAAAATTAAAATGTTCATAGCTTCTGTATAACTTCTATTTATTTTTAAATGAACAATATTTATATTAATATTACAGAAGATGATATTTGTATAAATATTGTTTCTATGATATTTATATACAGTAGATGTAGTAATTTAATGTTAATAATTAGTTGTTACATCCGGGTCAAATTATTATTTATGATGTTTACCTCATAAATCACTTAAAATTTATATTTAAAAAAATTATTTAGATTATTTGAGGTTTTACTACTTGTATGTTGTTGTGAAACTTTATTTATATAAAACTATTCTAACTTATATTAATTAGTAATTATTTGTTGAATTTAAAATGAACTAGTGCGCTCATCATACATGGTATACGGCCAGTGATATGCAATTCCATTTTGTTGCACTCATTATAATGTTGGCCTCACTTTATAATATAACGTTTGGTTTTATCGTTAACATCATAACAATAGTTATATTTATAATTATATCATCCGTTATAATATACACATATAATCTGCCGCCGACTATAATCAACACCGCCAGAGAGTATACCGTTATATAATATATTGGACTAAATCGTAGTTTAATAACAATTATTTGATTTCATTTTTATTTTAGTCAATATTTTCAAGACTATTATGTGGAGTTATTTTACTACAAGCCATGGCCTCACGCTATTGTTTTCTTTATTGGAATTGCTTTTGGATTCATTGTTTATCGCAAAATGTTTTTTATTTTAAAAACAGTAATTATTTAAAGGGTATATTTATATTTAATATTTCAATCATAAATTTGCAATTTAGCGCAACTTTTACATAATTTGGGCCACAATTCTGTTGGGATTTTGGATCCCATTAATGGACGACCAGTTCTGGAATAACGGGGAACCGTATAATAGGCTGATCTCAGCCCTGTATTACCCGTTCTGTCGCTTGATTTGGACGTTATGTATAGCACTCATGATATGGTGTTGTCTGAGCGGAAACGGAGGTCTTGTCAACCGATTGCTGTCGTGGAAAGCATTCGTGCCTTTGGCTCGACTCACATATTCTGTATATTTAACGCACGCATGGATTGTATGGATATTCTATAGCAGTCGAAGAGAACGAATCGATTTAAACTCTTTTTCATTGGTTTGTATTATGTATTTTTAATCAATTATTTTCATCATTACTGGACAATCAATAGTTTATTTTATTATCGCGTAATTGATTAGTTCAAATTATTTTATTTTACAAAATTAAATATCACTAATTAAGAGTCACACAATATGTTGCATTTCATTTACGCAATTCTATGCAAACACATAGTGATTACATTTCAATGTGTAGTACCTGTAAAGTAATGTCATTTTATACGGTATACACGTTATATGTAAACACTCAAAAAGTCCAGTTTGGATTGTGTATGGATCCCATCAATTATTTTTTGTTTGAGAGAATGCTATTATTGATAATAGTTATATTGATTTTATTTATTCAACAGTTGCTCATATTTTCGCACAACTTATTGATGTCATATATAATCGGAATTATATTTTCTGTCGTGTTTGAGATGCCGTGCATTAAACTCAACAATTATTTACTTAAATACTTAAAATTAAGTGCCGATAAAAATGAAAGACGAAAACAATTAGTCCCTAAATTTCATAAAATAGAGGGCAATACCATTGACTTCGATGGACAACGATTTTGCAACACTAATATACAGCTAAAATAATCTTAATTTTTAATATATTTTAATGTATACTCAAATCTTATTTAATTACTTTATATGATAATTAATAGTCAATTGAATTGTTGATTTTTCCCTTGTTATATTTTAATTAAAATTGAATAATACTTCAAAATAATATTTTTGCATCTAAAGTTGTGTAATAACAAATAAAAATTTAATAAGATGATTGATTTTTTCGTAATACTTTTCATAATGTAATATTTACATGTATGTCAATTAAAAAACGATAATTATGGATCTATGTTAATTTGCCTATAAAAGTTATGAAGTGGTCAGAAAGGGGGGTGTTTTCACATTTATTTAAATAATTAAATTTTTATTTTTAGATCAACTCTTGTTATATATTTATAGAATAAAATAAGGAGTCCGTCTATTTTCCACATATGGTCCGACCTCTGGTTTGGCGGCTGTGACCACTTTTATTGACAAAGGATAAAGTTTAATGTTAATGGGTTCTGGGCCAAAAATTTTATATTAAAAAATTTAAAATTTTTTTAATTTGCCAAATTAATTATCATTGTAAGCAAAATTGAAATTGATATGAATGATGTTCGGTAATTACGTTATTCACTATAAAAATCGCACATAACTGATACTAAATTTCTTAATTTTGAAATAACTTTTGCCAATTAGGTCAGATTTGAGAAATTCCTTCGGATGTCGATTCTACTCATCCATACCTTTCTATTGATATATTATATGACATGGTTAGTTATAAAATAAAATATTTGATTTTCAAAATTTTCCCGATAAAAGTGGTCACTACGGCCAGACCCGAAAGTATCTGAACATATGAAGTATATCACTCGACTACATATTAAGTGTACTTTCATTTTATAACAATAATTCCCGGTTGCCCGCTATCCCACAAATGGGCATCATCTTTTTAACTTATTAAGTACTAACATGTAATATAATATATTATAAAATCAATGTAGAATTTAGCTTAAAATTGTTTATCGCAGTATTATTTCAATGTGGCAAATAGATTTTGTTTAATTTCACTTTATTCTAAGAAGGAAATACAGTGAATATCCCCTAGCTGATCCAGTGGTGATTGATATGGTCATGTCCAGTATCGTATGGAGATTCATAAACCATCTTCAAAACGTGCGAATGGCCATAAGCACCGAAGTTATGGCCATATTTCTAGCTATTTGCATAGGGCTGAATGCATTGAAAATTGGCTTTTCACATGAGTAATGCTATTCACCAAAACTTTAGTGCTACAGTGCAACTTCTCTATAGTGAACGGCCAGTTGCACGGCAAAAGTGTTCATTATAGGGAGGGTTCATCCAAGGGAGGTTCGAGTAAAAATGTCTAATTTTGATTAATATTTGAAATTATTTGCTAATAATTACAATTATTTTAAATAATAAGTAATTTTAGTTTGTTTAATAGTAATAAAGTGATAATTATGTGCTTTAATGTTAATTTTGTCCAATTGTTTAAATGTTTGAGCATTGAATGCGTCTCTAGATATAAAGTAATAATTTATAGTTCACTAATCAGAAAATGAATACACATTTCTTACAATATTGAATGAAACTTTATATAAAAATGTTTGTTTTGTTTGCTTAAAGTCTTAGATTAGAAACTATTTTGAATACTTTTAGGAATTATGTGCTTATTATTATATTTGTTCATTATTGGGAGTGAAAGTTTTATCTTAATCTTTATAAATCCGTTCATAATGGGGAGGTATTCATTATGGAGAAGTTCACCCAAGAGAGGTTATTTTAACATTATAAGTATAGGTAATCCAATATAAATTTCAATGGGAGTGAAAGTTTTATCTTAATCTCTATAAATCCGTTCATAATGGGGAGGTATTCATTATGGAGAAGTTCACCCAAGAGAGGTTATTTTAACATTATAAGTATAGGAAATCCAATATAAATTTCAAAACCATTCATTATGGGGAGGTGTTCATCCAAGAGAAGTTCACCCAAGAGAAGTTGCACTGTATAAGACGTATGCAAATGATTAGAAATATGGCCATAACTTCGGCGCTTATGGCCATTCGCACGTTTTGAAGATTGTTTATGAATCTCCATACAATACTGGACATGACCATATCAATCACCACTGGATCAGCTACGGGACATTCACTGTATTTCCTTCTAAGCCGGGTTTGGTAGTGATGTGGCAAGTTAAACTACTTTCTTAAAGATATAAAAAATAATCCTAACTTGTAAGAAGATATAGTTCATAATAACAAACGTTTCGCAGAGCGGGTAGATTAACGCGGGTATTTTAGGGTAAAATACTTTATAATCAATATATTATCATTTTTGAACATTCAAATATAATGTAACTATCAATATATAATGGTTAGTAATATAATAATGGCTAATAATAATATAAATATATAGTGGTACCAATTAGACTCAACAACTGCTTAACTTTTCAGTACTGTTGACACTTTAGGTGGTGCGCCACTGTCTCCCCTGTACTCCCATTCAGTAATAAAATGCTTGAAAATATGAAATCCATTAACAATTAGACGTTAATATTAGGCCACAAACACAATCAAACACATGAGATGTGATTTAAAATATAATTCAATAGAAATTAATTGCTTAATCTTATAATATACTATACTTTAAAGTAATTGTACATTGTTTTTGACATTCGCTAAAAGAATACTTTCATGTTTTAACAAACAAACCTCAAAACATATTATTAAAGTAAGTAATAAGTAAGTTACCTTTATACATTTCTACAAGTATAATACTGTACTTCTACTGTGTATAACTACATTTATTTTGTATTTTTTAAAATGAATTTAGTGTATTACTTAAGAATTATACACCAGTAGTCATATCAATATAGTTTTATATACATGTATGTGCAACAGTTTTATACATACAGAGAATTCAGAGTTTTCAACAATAAAATTACTTTTTATTTTATTGATTACAAAAATCAAATAATACATTATAAATATTTTATATCAATGAAACATTTTCATTGGAAATGTAAGTCAAAATTTTCAATAATTACATTAATAATTTTTTATTTGCATTAACATTTATCAATTAGATCTATAAATGTTTGCACTGACTCGTGAGATCATAATACAATCTCACCAAAAACATAGATTATCAATAGATTTTTGAATTCAATGTCAACTCCTTTAATATATTCAAAAGAAATTTTAATTCTTGTTTATAAAGTACCTGGGGCATGTATTTTTAAGTTATATCAGTTGCCTTTTGTTAACTGATTTTCTTAACGTTTTGTTAACTGATTTTCTTAACGTTTTGTTAACGGGTTTTGTAATTAATACATTGATGAGACAAAATATATTTATCCTTAGCTAATGAAATTATGTTTACAAATATTTTCAATAAAACCACAAGGGTTAAATGATACTATCATACTACTCCACTAACTTATAGTTAGAATATTTAATTATTATTTTTTCAAAGCTGAAGTTGTGTTAACCTTTTACTTAACTTTATTAATTTAAATAATTAATAGTTACTAATTAATAATTCTCTCTCTCTCTCTCTCTCTCTCTCTCTCTCTCTCTCTCTCTCTCTCTCTCTCTCTCTC